GGCATCATACTCTGATTAGTGATTTCAGGAGAAACTCTTTTTTATTATTATAAGGAATGAGACAAAGGGATAATAAAGAATGGACAAAAGATACAAATATAATGACTCAAATTAAGATGGATTAAATAAGATAGAATTAAGAAGAGTGAAATGTGTGGAGAAGCTAATATAGAAGACATAGAATGGTAAATAAAATAGGTAATGACATGTAAGATGAGCATGAATATAATTGAAGTCCATGTAGAGAGAGGTACCTGGGGCCAAGTTATTTTCCTAAAAGATTTTTTATATGTTTGTGTGTTGTGTGTTTATGTTTTTGGGAGAATTAATAAAACCTTGCAGAAATATAGAATGAGAATAATGGTAACCAAGTCAGAAAGAAATAGATGAAATAATAATAGTGAAATTGAATAAGAGTAAAGAGAAGTAAAGAGAAACTGGATAAGACGTATTTGTATGCTCATATGGAAATGGTTTAAAATAGAATTATATTGTATAAAATAAGGTTTTATTTGACTTGTAAAATTTATAATGGAAAAAGGTTCAAGTATGTAATGGTTAATGATGATTTGTTTGTCTTTAAAATTAATAAAATTTGTTTAAAAAAAAAAAGATGTGGCGGCTGTAGGCTTTTTGCAGTGAAAATTACCTATCTGTTTCTGCAAAGCGCTGCCACAGCCGCGTTCTAGGTGCCAGCCACGCAGGTCCATTGCATTGAGCTCAGTGCATTGGAGGGACTATCCCAAGCAAGTTCAAGCAGAGCAGTGCAGCAGTCAATGGGGTGGACCTGCGTGGCCGGCACCTAGAACACAGCCGTGACGATGCTTTGGAGAAGTGGAGCAAAGCTGGAGGTCGGTAATTTTTGCTGCAAAAAGCCTACAACTGCCGTGTCTTTTTGTCACTTCTTTGCTGGCCGGAACCAAGCTGGGAACAGCGGCTGGAGGATTCTCCTGCCAGCAAAGAGATGGCAGCTGGAGGCTTCTTGGCGGGGGGGACAGGGACACGGTGAGACTCGGCTGGGAGTCAGAAGGAAGCTCCTGTGCCCTACCTGTCCCTTTTTGGTCCCTCCCTCCACATCGAAGTACCTTAAAGGGGCAGGCTGGGGTGGCTGCCTTCCTAGCAGCAGCGGAGCAAAGGGAAGGGAGGCAGAAAAGTTCACCCATGTCTTCTCCTCCTTCTTGGGCATACACAGAGCTTGAGGGGCACCAGAGGGACTCGCCCACACGCCTTCTCCTTGCAGAAAGTCCCCTCACGTGTGTACATGTGAGATCCCAAGACTTTCTGCTAGGAGATGGCATGTGGGCTACCGGCTCAGTTCCAGTTGGCAAAGCAGCAGTAGCTGGGACTTGCTGCCCTGTTCTTCGCACCGGGGTGCACCCATTGCCTTCTGCACCAGAGTGGAGGTATTTGCCCAGGCAAGTCCCGCCGGTGTAGCAGGCAATGGGGTGCACGTGCATGGCTAGTGCAAAGAATAAGGCGGCGATGGCTGTGGGACTGAAGCTCTTTTTGGTGCATTCAAAAAGTGGAGGCTGGCTCTGCGATCCCTGCCGCGCTCGCCGCCAAGGTGCCCCCGATCTAAATAGGTCTGGGGGCTATGGCTGCTTTGTAGAGGCAGCCGAAGAGAGAGGGGATCCGGACAGAGGTTTGGGGGTAACGCAGACCCCCTTTCCAGCCGGAATAACCCCTTTTTCCTGAGGTGGTGGAGCGGCGGTCAGTAATGGCCGCCTCAAAGAAGCCTGCAGCCGGGTAAGATTTGTGCTGGAGGAAGAGGGAAGAGCTGTGGAAGTTGCTTCTGACTGGGATAAAGTTAAGAGAGAGTGCCCTGTAACCTCGAAGGCTGCTAAGGATACTTTGTTTCTAGAAAGAGATACAAGCGGCGAACATTTCAAAAGAGAAAGTTTTTTTTTTTTTGCCTTTCACTCTCCTCCCTAACGTGACAGCAGTGGAACCATAAGAGAAATCCGGAATCTGTTCTGGAGGTAAATGAATATTGAAGGAGCAAGGATTTCTGAATATTCAAAGGGGAAAAGAAAAAGAAGAATTTTTTTTTGGCTGTGAGTGGGAAGGGAGAGGAAAAAAAAAAATTGGAGCAACCTGAAAATAAGGAGAAGACTGCCTAAAACTTTAAAGAGCTAATTTTAAAGAGTTATTAAACAGCAATAAGACTTCCTAAAGATATATTTTAAAGAGAACTTTGTGATCAAACTTTATCCCAAAAAGAGAAAGTGGAAAAAGAGAAAGTATTAAAAAGAATCAGCTGATTGGACTGTTTGATGATTTTGGATTTTATGAGAATTATCTCAGACTAAAAGCACTCGGGTGGTTGTTTTGTAAAAAAAATTTCTCTGTACAATGGCATCAGTTGTGGATGAACTAGAACTTATACACCAAAAATATGAAAGAGAAAAGCAAGAAGGGAAAGATGTCTTTGGCACTCTTTTTCAGTTTATAGAAATGGCGGTCTGTGCTTATGTAAAATCGTATGAGCAGGATAAAGAAGAAGCCATTTTTGAAGAACAAGTGACTGGTTGGGGAAGAAAAGAAGGAGGAGAAAAAGGAGAAGAAGACTTTTAAGACCTGGGAAAACAATCCAAAAAGAGAAGAATAAGGTGAAAAGGGGATATCGTGTTAGGAAACAACAGAAAGGGGGAAAACAGGATAAAAGGGAGGTGGAGAGACAAGGGGGTAAAGAGGATAAGGAGAAGAAGAAGCAAGGGAGAAAGGAAGGGATGAGAAGCTTTAATGGTGGGGAGCAAAATGCAAAAAAACAAAAGTTTTTTAGAGATAATGGATAGATTTTATTGGAAAAGGGATTCTAGAAGGGTACATAAGATTGCATTTTTATATTTGTATTTAGAAATAATTATAGAAGACTGGAAATAATATGCAATTTAAAATGTGATAAAATATTTAGTATAATTCAGTGAAATTTTTGTTAAGAGAGGGGAGTACTTTAATGAAATGATTTAAGATTGGTGATATGGGGGGGGAAATAATTTTGGAAAGTATAAGAAGTGTTCCCATAAAGGTATGATAATTAATTGAAATGGGTAAAATGTCTAAAGATATAAATGATTGTTAATACCAATGATTAGGCCATGTTATACTAGTGAAACTATTCGTGAAATGAGAGGTTTGAAGAAGGAGAGGGGAACATGTAATGTAATAATGATTTATAATATGTGATGTGGGGGGCGGAATTAATATGGCAAATAGGTGCTCCCATAGAAATATGTGACCTAATTGATAAGAAATGTGCTAGATGTTTAAGATATGAATAAATATTAATATTAATGAATAGATTTGTATTGGTTTTGATGATATTGTATAATGTCAGAATGTACCAGACAGAATCCCAACGTAAGTTATGTACTTTAAATCAAGTATTATAAATATAGGGGAAAGAGACATAGGCGTCATACTCCAATCAGTGTACAGGAGAAGGTTTTTCTTTTTTTTCTTTTAAGAAGAAAGATAAACGGATAGTTGGAAATAGAACAGACAAAGAATAATAAATATTATGATTTGAATTGAGAGGAGATAAATAAAATAAAATTGAGAAAATTTAAAAGAAAGGAGAAGCTATATAGAAAAATGAAAATGTAATAAGATATGGAATGGTATATAAAATGAATATGAATTTGAATGTGTGTCTGTACCAACAGTTTTGACCCGGGATTAAGCAACTTTCAGAAAAGAGATCTTTTATGTTTTTATGTCTTGTATTTTTGTATGTTTTGTATGTTTTTAAAAATTAATAAAAAAAATTTTTTTAAAAAAGTGGAGGCCGGTAGTTTTCAATGCAAAAACCTTCCAGCCAGCTGGCTTGATTCCGGCTGGCAAAGAGGCATCAGCTGGGAGGCTTCTCACAACGAAAAAAAGAGGTACAGCAGCTACAGGCATCTTGCAAAAAGGGAAGGTGAGATGCAGTCTGCTGGGGAGGCCAGTGGCTCTCAGCCCTGGCTTGCCTTCCCTGGCAACCAGCCACAGGAGGAAGGTAAGGTCATGGCCATGGATGATGAAAGAGGTGGTCATAGGGGAGGAAGCGAGTTTAAGGGCCAGGCCAGGGCCTCTGAAGGAGGGGAAAATGGGTGATGCATTGCGCTTAAGGGAGTGCGGGTGGCAAGCGGGCAGCGGCTCCGGGGCAAGTCTGGAGCCGAGGAATCACGCATTCCCGACCCAGCCGAGACAGCCACCGGCTCCAGGGCCTCAGGGAATAGAGCGTCTCTGGGCCCCTGTGCCCTGACCCAAGGCAAAGGGTCAGCGGGCAGCATGCATTGCTTACCTTTGGTGAACTGAGCTGACTGGGCATCAACAAGGCAACTGGTGAGGCAATTAGCTGGGCCACGTGGTGAAGGCAACATATATAGGGCGGGGTGGGTGGGGCGAGCATGGAGCAGCCGGAAAAGGTCAGTGAGCAGCGAGCAGCTGGAAGGGGCGAGTGAGCAGCGACCGTGGCCAGCCAGAAGTCGCTACTAGTTCGGCGACCCATGCCAAATCCTTGCTACTGGTTTGCCCAATCCGGTGCAAACCGGCTGAATACGACTACTGCACCAAGCTCAGAGAACACTAAGGGCCTCATTAATAAAGAAGACAGGAAAAGTTAAGAAGATTGATTTCTAAAATAAAAAAATAAAAAAGCCTCTTAGGCCCAAAATCATCAAAGCTTTTAATTCAGTATTTAGGACATCTGGAGAATATTATATATATATATATGTTTTCTGAGGTTTTCGTGGGTATTTGAGGTTTTCACGGGATATATATATATATAAAACCTCAAATATATATATATATATATTATATAATATATCAGTTTGTTTATGTCAGAACAATAATCAAAGCTGTTTCTCTAGACCTTCTATAAAATCCTTATGAAATGCAGGATTGCTGCCTGCAGAACATTTTTAGTATGGTGTAATAAATATAGGATTTAAAAGACAATTAAATGAAACAAATAGGCAAAGGTAAATGGTATAATCTCATTTAGCAAACCTGCATACTTTAGTTGCTAAGGAGAGCATGTTGGCGCTATAAAATGGAGGGTTGAGTGTTGCCATCTGATATAAAACACATCCTGAAGCCCAGACATCAGCCTTCTCACCATATGGCTCACTCTTTACAACTTCAGGGCTGCATAAATGAAAATAAAATATTGTATGCAATACAAAAAGGACAAGGGAGAGGTCACCAAATATACATTACCATGAAAATCTTGAAGTGTTTATAAAAGGTCTCTATAAAAATACAAAAAATTTAGAGTTTATGTAGAAAGATGGCTATTCAATTTCCCAACCTAGTCTATACAAATTATTTGGGATAGAATTCATTCTTTTTTTAAAAAACAAACTATTGATATTACAACTAAAATGTCAAACAAACACAAACACAACACACAGAAAAAAAAGAAAAAAAAGATTAAAAAACTAGCAATTCTATTGTCGACAGTCTATGGTTCCTTATTTGTTATCAATACATCTTATTGCGAATATATAATTACTACCTCTTTTACATTTTACAGTATTTACTAATATATTTTCTATTTTTGTTCTATCCAGTCATACCAGAATTCCCAGCTTCTATAATATTCTGATGTTTCTTTTTCCTTAATTGCTAAGGTTAATTTATATTCTGATAACAACATTAATGAGATTTTCCTTGACTTGTAGCACAAAAGAATGCTAGTATAATTCTGACAGTCAAGCTGATGCTATTCTTCCAGTTTTAATATAGGATCTTAAGGTGGATTTCCTGCTAGTGGGGGAGAATCACCAATTACTATCCTTAACATGGATTAGCAAGGAGGCTGTCAGTGTATAAGAGTTCATGAATTGGAATAGACCTGGTTACAAGTCAGCCAATGGGAACTGTTTGGTGACTAAGAAACAGCACCAGTTGTGAGCCATGCCAGACGGCTTGGAGACTGGGTGTGGCTTAGGGTAAGTGACTCTGTAATATATTGCTTCTGTGCTTATATAGCTTCTGTGTTTCTGTGCTTCAGTTCTACTGGTTCTGATTGCTTCTGCTTTTTGTCCTTGTACTTGCTACCACGTTGCAAGAATTGCATGGGTATTGTATACATGCATATGTTTTATATTGTTGTATATAAACAAGTTTCTTCTATAAATGAATCCTGCTGAATTATTTACTTGTGTGATGGTTGGATTGCTACAAACTCTAACAGAGGCAAATTTTGGCAGAAATCCCATGAGTTGGGATATCTGTCAGAACCTTGTATCTGAGAGGGGTGGATTGTTCTGTGGTAAAGCAGGAGAGGTTATTTTCTATATCACCAAGACCCCAACTACAGGTAGTCCTTGACTTACAACAGTTCATTTAGTGACTGTTCAAAGTTACAACGGCAGTGAAAAATGTGACATGACTGGTTTTCAGTTACAACCTTTCCACCATCCCCATGACCAAGTGATCAAAATTCAGATGCTTGGCAACTAGTTCATATTTATAACCATTGCTGTGTCTCAAAGTCATGTGATTGCCCTTTGCAACCTTCTGACAATGGGGAAGCCAGATTAACTTAACAACCCAGTTATTGATTTATCAGCTGCAAGGACTCATTTAACAACCATGGCAAGAAAGGTTGCAAAATGGGCAAAACTCACTTAACAAATATCTCACTTAATAACAGAAATTTTGGACTCAATTGTAGTCATAAATTGAGGACTACCTGTATTTTACAGAACTCTAGATTATCGCAGTCAATCCATCAATCATTCTTTCTCCTTTGCTTGGCCTTCCTTGCTTTTATCATCCTCTCACTCCTGTGCTCTTTCTCATTCAGTTTTTCTCTTACTTACTCCTTTTCTCACTTTTTTACTATCACTCTGTCTCCACCACCATCACATTTTTTTTCATTGAGTCTTTATGAATTGTTCTCATTTTCACCAAATTTTCCTTACTATCTCTTTTTTGCTTATTTTCCATCTCTATATGATTAAAGTTTAAAAACAGCTAATTGGAGCTGCTGCCAGGTATCACTCTTGTCACCCCTGCAGTCCTGGCATTGTAGTATCGTTGCTCCAGCTGTCAAAACCATAACCATAATCAAAACCTGCAGCACTAGTTACAATAAACTACTTTACACTACTTTACAAAAAACAGCAAACAGGCTTGCAATTACTTGAGTTTCTTACTGGTATCTATCAATAACAAAAAATTTAAGCCATCATTTAATAATTGCCTTTCACATTTCTGAGACAATTGTCAGATGTCTCTTCCATTTTTGGGAGCTTGAGTGGTTGCAACCAATTTTCATTCATTGGTTCTAAAATGCTGAATTAATACCTTCCTCCACTTAGAACTTTAATTTAACATTTAACATTTAATTTAAATATTTTAACATTTAAAAATTTAACAACTGCTTTGTAAAATTGTAGCAAACAGTCTAGATAATAAATGAAATAAATTCATTCATTTCTGTACCATGTCAGCAGCTGGTTAATCTTATATTAATCCAGAGACTAAACAGAGCTAGAATTGGTTATGGCAGACCTGCAGTGGCTAAAGAATAGTCTGGGAAGATGTAAAAGCATTCCATAAAAAGGCAAAGGCAAACATTTCTATTTCATTGTCAAGGAAATAACAATGAAATCAACAGAATTTAATCTGATTCAAATTTATAAAAGGAACTTATTCATATTATCTGTTTTTACCTTTCACTCACATATCTCATACTCTAACCAAGAAAAAAAAACCACCTGTTCCCTGGTTACAATAGTTACTGTCCAGCTTTTTTTTTTTCAAATTTATGTTTTCGTTTTATATTTGGATAGATTTATAGATAAATTTCTATAATAAATAATTATTTTTGATAATTTGGAGATAATAAGATTTGTTTTCCCAAAGCAATTTCTTTCTTATCAAATGTTAAATAAAACAATTCTGTTTTATTTAACATTTGATAAGAAAGAAATGAAAATGATAGCAACTTTGGTGTAGTGGTTAAAATATTGGCCTAGAGGACTTTTAGCAGACGTCGTGGCTAGATCAGATGCGAGGAGCAGATCTCTGCGCTCCTGTGTCAAATTTTCCTGGTTGGAGGGCTCCAAAAGGAGCTAAAGCCATCCTGTAGGGATGGTGAAGGAAAGAAGGGCACCCTGCAGGTTGCAGGAGAGCCACAACTCTCCTGCTTGATCCAGAGTCCTTCCCTCTTACTCTTGATGATGAAAATAGCAGCCATCATGGCTGCCATGAAGCTGGGACAGACAACAAATAAAGTGCGGGAGTGGTGTAAATGAACAGTGATCGGAACCAGGTCAGATGATTCTTTTGCTACCTAAAATTTAACCCAAAAGGAAAAAAAATAGAATTATTTGTAAAAAACTAGAACTATTTGTAAAAGTGGTAAACAATTATTCAGATAAAAATCTCAGATGCAAAAGAAAGGAACTAAGGGGGGAAAAGCAAAAAAAAAAAAGAATATAGAAAATTGGGCTTCTAAGCTGGGTAGGTGCTATTTTGGAAAGGCATTTTAAAATGCTGGAACTTTTTATTTAAATAACTGACTTTACTTCTATAAATCGAAACTAAAATTGGATTAAATACCAGTTAGAATTGAGGCAGCATTGAAACATAAGCTGAGGGCTCCACTTACTGTTGAATGGAAAATATAACATACCCCTACAAGCCTAGGAAAATTTCTGATAAGAGAAATAAACAACAACTGAACTGAAGTCTACAAAGAGGACTCTTGCGTAGGTATTGGGAGTTCAAGGTGTTGTAGGATGTAATGCAGAGCCATGCTAACAGCATCATCTGTCGATCTATTTGCTCGGTATGCAAACTGCATGGGATCTAACAGCGGATCCATGATGGTTTTCAGGTGGGACAGCACAAGCCTTTCAAAGGTTTTCATAACTACAGATGCTAGAGCAACTGGTCTGTAGTCATTCGGTTCCCTGATGGAGGGCACTGGGATGACAGTAGAGCGTTTGAAGCAGGAAGGAACATAGCACATCTCTAGTGATCTATTGAAGATTCGGGTGAAGATGGGGGCCAATTTGTCAGCACAGACTTTTAAGCAAGAAGGAGCTATCTTGTCTGGCCCTGGTGCTTTTTCTGGCTTTTGTCTGTGTAATAAATCTTGCACTTCTTTTTCTGTGATCACCAGAGGTTGTGAACCCAATGGATTGGGGCCAGTTGTAGGAGGCTTGACTGTTGTTGGTGTGTTTGAGAAGATAGGTGGCTGTAGTTTCCTTTCAAACCTGCAGTAAAACGCATTCAGGTCATCTGCTAGTTGTTGATTTCCTTCTGCCTGGGAAGGAGGTTTGCTGAAGCCAGTGATGTTTTTAAGAGTTTTCCACATTTGCTGGTTCATTTGTTGAGAACTGATTCTTTAACTTTTCAGAGTAGCTTCTTTTTGCTGCTCTGTTCTCTCTTGTTAATGTTTCTGGCCTGGTTGTATAGCATTCTGTCACCTTTTCTGTAGGCTTCCTCTTTGGAATGATGTAGCTGCTTAAGTTTAGCTGTGAACCAAGGTTTATTGTTACTATATATTTGCAGGTTGTTGGTACACATAAGTCTTCGCAGAAGCTGACATATGATGTTACAGTATCTGTGAGCTCATCTAGGTCTGTAGAGGCATCTTTAAAAACATTCTAATCAGTGCAATCAAAGCAGGCCTAGAGTTTCAGCTTTGCCTCATCCGACCAAGTTCTCACTGATTTAACTGTTGGTTTCATGGTTTTAAGTCTTTGTCTGTGGGCAGGTACAAGGTGAATCATGGAGTGATGAGAGTGACCACAGCTGTTCATGGTAAATACCTATAAGCATCTTTTATTGTTGTGTAGCAGCGGTTTAAAGTATTTTTTGCCTCTGGTGGAACAATTGGCATGCTGGAAATATTTTGGGAGCTCTTTCCTTAAATTTGCTTGATTGAAATCTCCTAAAGTGATGGGAAGGGAACCTGGGTGTTTAGCTTCAGCCTCCATAATTTGATCAACAAGAGTTTGTAATGCCTTGTTTACACAGGCTTGTGGAGGAACATACACAGCTATTAGGAGAAATGAGGAGAACTCACGTGGAGAATAAAATGGCTTGCAGTTGATATGTAAAGACTCTTAAGTTTTCATCACAGTACTTATATATTATAGTTATATCCTGAGACCATCTGTTGTTGATATATAAACATAAACCTCCATCCTTTGTTTTACCTGATGTCTCTTCAATTCTGTCTGATCTAAATGTCTGAAATCCTGGGATGTATATGGTGTTGTCCCCATGAATTTGTGGATTAAGCCAGGTTTCAGTAAAACAAACAGCTGAATTATAAAAATCAGAATTCCATCTATTTAAGAGATGAATTTCATCCATCTTGTTAGCCAGTGTTCGTAAATTAGTCAGAAAGATTGAAGGGAGAGGAGTTTCCCCCCCCCCTATTCTTAGTCTGTTTAAAATTCCCACTCGTTTACCTTGTCTCCTCTTCAGGCGTGATCACTTCTATGCTTTCTTTGTTGTAATCCATAGCACCGGGGAATTGGTTAGAATCTCCTCCGTGTTTGCAAAGACAGGTGGGGGTGAGGAATCAGAAAGCTGCTCCTTAAGGAAACATTGCCTAATTCTTAGCAGATGGTCTTGTAAGTATGAAATCCGTAGTGAATTGCATACAATAATAAGGATAATAATAATAATAATAATAACAAGATGATAGATAGAAAGGAAAGGTCTTTTAATATAATGGTGGACTGTCTGACGCCTGTCTAACAGTTAGAATAGTGGTAGAAATAAGAGATAGAGAGAATAGTATACACATTTTTATGTAATGGAATGAAAGTAATAACTAGATGGGAAATTAGAGGTTGGAAGAGAGTATTACTATGTATGTTCAAATAATATTGTGTTTGGTATTAGAATGGCACATTGAAACAGTAAACAACTGAATAATGAAGGATTATATCTTAATACAAATATGCATATTAAAACTACAATTATATAAGTTTAATTAACATGATAAATATTATTAACATTATGATTGTTATTTGTATCAAAATGAATGGTAGATTATTTTAGGCCACTCATTGCTTCTCAGTTTAACTCATCTAAAATGGTTGTTTTTGTGGGGGAAAATAGGAGAAGAAGGAGTATTAATACATTCACCGCTTATTATATATGAAAAAAGTGGGATAAAAACTTAAATAAAATAAAGATTATGGAAGAAATGATAATAAAAAAATGGAATGAAAAAATAAGTTACAATAGACTGAATGATTACATAAAGAAGTGTCCCTGAAAATCTCAAAGAAGAGAGGTTTTTGTACACTAAGGTCAAGTTCCTTGAAACACTTACCGGTAAGTTCCTTTGAAATTTTGAAATAAGTTGTATAAAATAAAAAGAAGAAGAATCAAATAATAAAGAAATAAGCTGCCCCTAGGGTTATGCCTTATAGCAAAATACAGTTAATTAATATTTCCCAACTAGTGGTTAGCCTCAAAATTGAAACTTCAACGTCAGCTTCAAAAGAAACTCTAAATAGCACACATTATGATCAGATTGAATATATTATCATTTCAGCTACACAATGAGAAGGGACACAGAACAAGAAGTAAATTTATTTATTTCATTTTTAATCCCACTTCATTATTTTTATAAATAATACAAGGCAGTGAACATACCCAATATTTCTTCCTCCTATTTTGTTCAGAACAACAATCCTATGAAGTGGATTGACTTGAGAGGGAGTTACTGGCTAACTACATTACTATCAGTGTGGGATTCAATTTTTTTTACTTCCAGTTCTGTGGGTGTGGCTTGGTGGGCGTGGCAGGGGAAGGATACTGTAAAATCTCCAGTCAGAGGTGGTATTTGCCGGTTCTCCAAACTACTCAAAATTTCCGCTACCGGTTCTCCAGAACTGGTCAGAACCTGCTGAATACCACCTCTGACTGATACGTATTTCAATCTGTGACCCACCAAATTTAGTCCTGGAGTCCTCTTTTTTCATTCCCCAGATTCCTGCAAGTACCATCATATTTCAGCATCAAAGCATCAAAAATTACATAGGAAAAAAATGTAAACTATTTTTCAATAAGATATAACAGATAACAGTTAAACCACTGACAAAATAAATTATCCCTAATGATAGAAAATATAAGGGTCAGGCCAGCTCCAGGGTTCTGAAATTGTAAAATAATATTAATAAAATTAGTGCTCTAGTCCTGCTGTCTTTGCTGAGGTTATCATGTCACTTCCTACCCTTCTGTATGTCCACTATAAAAAGGATGCTTCTTTATTTAGACTTTGTTTGGACAGTTCTTTCCATTTACACTGAAACACTGAGGTCAAGATTAAATATACTTGCTTGTAAACACATTTTTTATCACTGTATATTTATTAGTGTTAAACAGCTTGTTAAAAACAATGTATATGTATAATATATAAAAGTGATCTAAACCAGTGGTTCCCAAACTTTTTCAGTCCACCACCCCCTTGGTGCTACAAACTCATCCTTGGTGCCCCCCACCCAGGGGTGGGATTCAAATTTCTGTGGGTGTGACCTAATTTGAGGGTGTGGCTTGCTGGTCATGTGACTGGGTGGGCATGGCTTGCTGGTCACGTGACTAGCTGGTGCGGCTTGCTGGCTGGGCGTGGCTTGCTGGTCACATGATCGGGTAGGTGTGGTTTGGTGATCATGTGACTGGGTGGGCATGGCCAGGTGACTGGCAAACGAAATACAAGTGGTCCTCACTTAATGGCCAGTTGTTTAGCAAGTGTTCTAATTTATGACTGGCCTCCCCAGAGCTACTTGACCTATTTTTGGAGTTTTGACAGCCATGCACACACATATACACATACTCCCTTCTAACCCTGCTGGAGCAGGTCATTGGACTAGAATCGGCAAAACATCTCTGATTAGATTATAGTAGTGAATAGAATCTAATCAGAGATGATTTGCTGATTCTTGTTGATTTGTTTTATTTGTATTTCTTTATTTTATGTTGCTGAATTGCATTGACATGTGTGTCCCTTCTTGTGCACAACCCAGAAGCTTTTGTGATTCTTTGCAGCAAAAATTACTGACCTCTGGCTTTGCTCGACTTTTCAAACGTGCCACCACTGCCACATTTTAGGTGCCAGCTCTGCAGGTCCACCCCATTGAGCCTGCTTCACCGGAGGGACTTGCCCAAGCAAGTCTGAGCTAAGCAGTGCATCAAGTCAATGGGGTGAGCCTGAGAGAGGGAAAGAGAGAGGGAGAAAAGAAAGAGAGAGAGAGAGAGAAGGAAGAAAGAGAAAAGGGAAAGAAAGAAAAAGGGACAGATGAAGAAAGAGGGGGGATGGAAGGAAGGGACAGAAAGAAAAAGAAATAAAGAAGGAGGGAGGGAGGAGAAAGATAATGAGATATCTATTCTAGTCCAATCACCTGCTCCAGCAGGGTTAGAAGGGAGTGTGTGTGTGTGTGTGTTCTCCTTGTAATTTACCAGTTCATTTTGGTTTTGCCTTCTTCAGAATTGGCACTGTAATACATTGGGGAAAAGTAATTTTTTAGGGTGAAGGTCTGGTCCAATGGATCCTGTTTAAAGCCTCAACAAAATGTGAGAGCTTCCTGATAGTTTTGACCATGTTTCATCCACAAAACCTTTAATAGAAGCCAAAGATGTTTTAATGTGCTGGCAAAGATGTTTCAATGTGGAAAAGAGCCTCAGTCTAAACTAGGCCTCATTTCAATCTGATGCATCAGGTCTCTCTCTCTCTCTCTCTCTCTCTCTCTCTCTCTCTCTCTCTCTCTCTCTCTCCCTCCCTCCCTCCCTCCCTCCCTCCCTCCCTCCCAGACTGGCTTTGCTCTACTTTCCCAGGATAGATAGGTAGGTAGATGGGTAGATTTGTAGATAGGTAGATATGTAGATAAGTAGGTAGGTGGATGGATGGATAGATAGATAGATAGATGGATAGATAGATAGATAGATAGATAGATAGATAGATAGATAGATAGATAGATAGATAGATAGATAGATAGATCTTTATTGGTAGTTAAATAGGTAGGTAAACAGAAAGGCAGGCAGGCAGGCAGGTAAGTAGGTAGGAAGGCAGACAGACAGACACACCTTTTTGGATGGATGGATGGATGGATGGATGGATGGATGGAGAGAGAGAGAGAGAGAGAGACAGACAGACAGACAGACAGAATGCTACAGTGGCGGTACTTTGGGAAAGTAAAGCAAAGCTGCTGCCACTGCATTCGAGGCACCGGCTTCGGAGCGGTGCAACAGTCAATGGGGTGAGCCTAAGTGCCAGTGCCTCAAATTCCATCCTGCCGCCTTTTAGCGGCCCTCTGCCGGCCCCCTTGGGGGCACTAAGAGGCGGCAGGGGGCATTTGAGGCGCCGGCACCGCAGGCTCAACCCATTGATAGTTGCACCAGAGCGGTGCAAGGGCTCAATGGGGTGAGCCTGCGGAGCCGGCGCGTCGAACTCAGCGGCGGCACATTGCAAAAGTAGAGCCCTGGGGTTCCTCAACCCTGCACTGCTCCAGGAAGGAGGGAACAGCACCGCCCTCTATGATGTGAGTGCCCCAGGAGGGGGGGCAGCTTAGGAGACTGATCCCTGGTGGGAGGGGCAGCCTGTGAATTTGCTGTCAGGCATGGCAACTACAAAGAGGGGCGGGCTTGGCTGAGCGGGATACTGGATATTGGGCATGTGGTCAAAGCCCCCCTTCCTCTGCCTCCCCTTAGGTAATCCAACATGGATTGTTGCACCGGAGTGGTCCATTGGAGCTGCCGCATTCGAGGCACCGGCTCCGGAGTGGTGCAATAGTCAATGGGGTGACCCTATGGGGCTGGCGCCTTGAACGTTTCCCTGCCACCTCTTAGCTCCCCCCTGCCGGCCCCCCTGCCTCTTAGCCCCCCCCCCCCCAAGGCATCCCACCGCCCTCCAGGGGGTGGTACTGCCCACTTTGGGAACCACTGCTTTAAACCTAATATTCTCTTACCAGGAATACAGAATAGTTCCAACTACTGAAGTGAGTTTACTGTTCTCCTGTTTTTGCTTTGCAAGACCAAAGTCAGCTGGAAATATAAAAGAAAAGAACGTTATGTTTCTTATAGAAGATACACTGTTTCAAAAATAATAAAAGTTCATGTAGAAGAATATTTTTCTCTGTCCTTTTATACCACCAGCCCTTGATTCATTCAATTTGCTCATCTTCTACATTTGCCTTTGAAATGAATTTCAGTCAGATGTAACAATTTGAGGCAGTTGCCTGCCCCAATTCTAATTCATAGTGCCATTTATTCTGATAACCTGTGCAGGAGCATGGAAATGAAACATTGTTTAAATATGTATAAAATCCATTTATGAAGATTAAAACTGAACAAATGCCAAATCCAAAAATATACTAGCAAAATAAATACTTAACTATTTTTTACTTTTTAAAACTATATCAGCTAGCAATTTTGGCAATACTGTAATTGAAGAACAGTAATTTCTTGAAGCCAAATGCAACAATAAAATAACAAGAGTAATCTTTTAAAAAGTCCCTTAAAATATTTTAATTGCCTGGGCTATTATGTTTAAATTCTGTTCTCAAGTATTACATTAGCTCTGTCAAGATGGGCCTTCTTTCTTCTTGCGGAAGATTTACTTTGAAATGTTGGCTTTAATAGTTCTGAAAAGCAGTGACAAGGTTTTTATGTTCATCAGCTTTGGCCTTCATTCAATCAGTTAAACACTGTGTTGCTTTTGCAAATACAGACATATAATTACCAATTACTTACTCTTTAGCCAGAATTGTATGATTTAACCATGTAAAATGTATATATCATTTCTATATATAGCATTAGAACAAATTACATTATCTCTTAAGCAATCTAATAATGCACTTTATTTTTCCAAATCCCTGATGAAGAATAAATGAGGACAGAGAGATATTTTTGTCTCTGTTTTCTTCTTCTCCAGTTATTGTACTGGACAATTCCCCTCTTAGTTGGTCTACATATTTTTCTAGGTGAGCACAGAAGAAGGGTGAAATACAAATTCTTTGGAATCTCATGCCTGTCAAACATACTCCTGTCTAATCCTTCTCTTGCCCTTTTTTGTAATTTTCTTAACCACATAAAGAATGTCAGAACTTAGAAAAACCCAGGAGCATCTCCAAGCTCAATGCTCTCTCCAGGCTTAGAGGGGAAATCAAAAGAACAGAATGGCCCTGAAAGGTAATTCTGGACTCCATAAATTAAAACACAAATTCTAAGTAAACTTTAGAAATAAGCAACATGATCAACCTTACAAGAATGAAAAATGTCTAAGAAAAGTGATAAAATATCCAATGTTAAAAATAAATAAAAATATCATTTGACATAGCTAATAGTTAAGCACTACTCCATGTTCTCCAACTGATGCCAAAACTCTCAAAGGAGACTTCTATTTAATGCTATTAATTAACCCAAACTCCAAACTTATAAGGTATCATTTTAGACTGAGCCATTTTTAGTGATAGACTTATTCAGATTTTAAATGACAAGCCCAAGCTCTGCACCAAAGTCATATTTTTGTTGTTTCTAATCAAGATGGCAGAAAAAAGATACTACCTTGAGAAATGGCTGTCAGAAATGACAGCTTCACATTAATCATCATAACAGGCATAGTCCAGTCAATGCTTAACATATGGCAAAATTTGAATTCTATTAACACTGTTATTCTGTTTCTTGATTATGCCTTTTGTGACCTTGTCTAGCTACTCTCACAATTAATATTAATCAACAATACCATATGCACTAGGGATAATAGTTCACATTGCTTTTCAAATATATTAAAACATTATTAGTATTCAATATTAAACACATGTTTAAACAAAAGAGAAAGGATGAGAGATGAAAAAGACCACAGAATATAAATCAGCTATGGGTTTTTTAAAGAGGTCACACTATAAAACAAATGTCCATTATTTCCCAATGCAAATTTAATGTATTGACTGCTGCAAAACTTTTCACAGTGTGATTGTATTACAATTTCTTGGGTTAGAAAAGTTGAATCAAAAGCTGTATATTACTTTGCCTTGGCTGCTCTGATGAGAAATGGATACAGCTATCATTTTTTTAATTGGAATTAATAAAGAAATTGTTATTTTTGTATTGACTTACTATCTCTGTCAGCTTATATCTATTAATTCATTTATAACAGTTAATAGACATGTGGTATCCTCTCCTGGAACTGCTAAGATCACACAACAGTTTCTGATTCTTTTATTTCCTCGAAATAGTAATATCTCCCCAGCAAGATGATTCTGACTTGGTATATTTTAAAATACTTAACCCCATGAAATAAAATAGTATGTCGTAGCCTTTTTAACATGGGGAAATTATTTTAAGAGATCAAAATATATTTCAAGAAGTACTCAGGCCATATTAGAGAATCACAGAAATAGCATCTATTCCAGAATGATAGCCATAAATTAAAATAAATAAATGACTTTCCATATGCTATGGATTTTACTTAACTTTTTTTTCAATGTCTTTTGTTCACAATTTCTGCTAAACATTCTGAATTCAACAGATAACAGATAATCAGAGTTGGAAGGGACCTTGTAGGTCATCTAGCCCAAGCGGGAGACCCTACTCCATTTCTGACAAATGGCAGTCCAATCTTTTATTGAAAGTCGCAAGTGATGATGCTCCCACAACTTCTGAAGGCAAGCTGTTCCATTGGTTGATTGTTCTCACTGTCAGAAAGTTTCTCCTTATTTCCAGGTTAAATCTCTTTGTTCAGTTTCCATCCATTATTCCTTGTCTGGCCTACAGGCGCTTTAGAAAATAGCTTGACCTCTTCCTCTCTGTGGAAGACTCTTCTAGAGTCTCAACATCTTTTTCTATAATGTAGTGAACAAAACTGGTTGCAGTACTCTAGATGTGGTTTTACTAAGGCTTTATAGAGTGGTATTAGTACCTCACTTGATCTCGATTGTATCCCTCTGTTAATGCAACTTAGGATTGCATTAATTTCCTGAGTATTGATGTTAAGCTGATTGGTTTATAGTTTCCTGGGTCTGTTTTTTTCCCTTTTTTGAAGATGGGAACCACATCTGGTCTTTTCCAGTCCTCTGGTAGTTCCCCGGTGCTCCAAGGATTTTTGAAAGATATGGTGCAGTGTTTCTGATATGTATATGAATTTGTATAATGTGACCATAGAGTAACAGTTGACATGCATTTCCCTAAATCTTCTAGTTGTTTTGGTGACAGCTAAAGTTATTAACACTATTTTCCTTCAATTTGAATCAATGCAACTGTTTACTTATCTTTAACTCCTTTTTATGTAATTGACGATTTGCTTTATTTGATCAATTATCAGTCCAAAATCAAAACTACAGAGAAAATTGGAATTACCTTTTTCTAAGAGAGAACAGGTTCTCAAAATATAAAATAAACACTCTGGCTATGACTATTTCTAATCTACAACAGAAGAATCTACAATAGAAACAACCAGACACAAGCATAATTTTTCCCCAGTGTCATCATTCTGTTAACACCTAATTCCCGCAGCATTGCCTTATGCCTAAAGATATTTACCCATGTAGTAGGGCTATTTTGCTATTATCCTACTCATCTTGTCATCTTTCCCATCTTCTCATCTTTCCTACTACAGGAAGTCCTCAACTTACAACCACAATTGAGCCCAAAATTTATGTTGCTAAATGAAAAAGTTGTTAAGTGAGTTTTGCCCCATTTTACTATTTTTCTTGCACCATTTGTTAATTGAATCAACTGCAGTTGTTAAATTAGTAACATAGTTGTTAAGTGAATTGGTTTCACCTTTGACTTTAATCATCAGAAGTTTGCAAAAGGTGATCATATGACCCTGGGTCACTGAGACCATCATAAATGTGAGTCAGTTGTCAAGCAGTCGGTTGTAAATCACATGACTATAAGGATGCTGAAATGGTCATAAGTCACTTTTTTCAGTGCTGTTGTAACTTTGAAGTCACTAAGCGAACTGTTGTAAATCGAGGACAATATGTACTTTCTCCTATTAGTATTGTTAGGGATACACCCTAGCAGAATTTGCACGGCAGTCAGGCTGGCAGGCAAATATGTGAGATAAACGTTTTTGTAGCTTACACTAAGTAAAAAAGATACACTGTGCTAGTTAAATAGTTTATTCCAGTAAGATTTTTAGCATAGTCAAACAGTCCATATATCATTCACTAGTTCAGTCCGTTCGGGGATTATTCAGTTGCAAAGTCCAGTGTCGAAAAAGAGGTTAGTAAATTTACAAATATCAGTCCAGTAATATATCTCCTCGCAGTAGAGATATAA